ATAGATTTTAAGATTGTATATTTTGCGCACTACTAACAGCGTTGACTCTTAATAGCCTTTGTATTTACTTAATTGTTTGTATTGTTTTAAAACATATAAGAGTCTATAATTCAATTATATTATTAATTTATTAAATTTTTTATGATATTTATTTTGATAATATATTTTTAAAATGTTTTGTTTTCTGTAAAAAATATTTTATAGCGATTTCTTGAGTCGCTATAATTATTACAAATCGATAGTCTGCAGATCTTAAAAAAAAAATGGTTGACCAAATGTTGTGAACGAAAATTTATAATCTTTCATTTTTATAAAGATTGATTAGACCTGTCAGATGACGCATCAACAACATGACAAAGAATAAAACAAAAAATGTATGTCAGCGCTTCCTACGATATGAAGCTACAGATAAGTAGAAATTATAGATATTTCAAGAAACTGTTCTATAATATATTTTTCATTAAAATTAAAACATTATGCATATAAAAATAAATATAAATAAATGTATATATATATATATATATATATATATATATATATACATCATTTATTACATTGTGACGTGACATTTTGTCAGTCACTCGTAACCGTACCAGAAGACGAGATTCTGGGTCCTTCGAGGTCAACAGGCGAGCGCACAAGCGAATATGTGATATTATCATTTATTTTGCGTTATTTTCTGCGATTACTGTTTTCCTCGACTATTATTTTTTTCTTTTCTTTTCTCGCTTTTCCGCTATTTAGTTAAGTTTCAGCTATCTCAAAGACGCTCCTGAATTCGCATTTTACTATCGATTCACAATCAAAGCCGGTGGCTACGCTGTACTTGTGTATTTGGCCGCCTCACTCACCGCCAGAAGAGAGAAGACGCCTCATAAGAAAAAGATGATGCTACATGGAAAATTTGGCTGAGGTTCACTGGAAGCGCGGTATACGTAGGTCGTATTATTTTATATCTGTTACTAATGTCGCTAGTATTTGGTGGTTATCGCACCCTCATTGCAGACGCCTTGGAGGGAGACGTCAGCTGGGAACGGACTCGCCGGCAGGACATCCGCCGAAGCGCCGCATCCCACAACGATCGCAGGAAGATCGTCGAGCGACCAGGAAGCATTTTCCGTCTTTTGGAAATGCGCGCCATGGCATTTAAGGATACGCGACATGCAAGGACCCGCGGGATTCGTCGCGGGATCACGCAGTCGCGAGAAGCCGATTAGAGCAAGCAGCGGCCCGATAAGAGAGGGGCCTAACGGCCTGCGTGGATCCACGGAAA